TCAAATGTTTTGTTCAGGAAACCTAGGTAAAGGTAAAGGTTCCCCTTGACATTGAGTCCAGTCGTGTCTGACTCTAGGGGTCGGTGCTCATCCCCGTCTCCAAGGCGTAGAGCCAGCGTTAGTTCGAAGACAGTTTCCGTGGTCATGTGGCCAGCGTGACAAGATACGGAACGCCATGACCTTCCCACCGAGGTGGTCCCTATTTAACTACTGGCATTTTCACATGCTTTTGAACGGCTAGGTTGGCAGGAGCTGGGACAAGCGACGGGAGCTCCCTCTGTCTCGTGGATTTGATATTACGACGGCTGGTCTTCTGACCCTGCAGCACAGAGGCTTCTGCGGTTTTAGTAAAAACAAGGGGGGGAGGATTTTTTTAAACAGGACGTGGTTGTTCTGTGATGTCCAACTGCATCCAACTTATGATTATCCTAACAGGGCTTTCAAGAACTATGAGATAGTTCAGGGATGGTTTTTTCCAGTTCCATTCCCCTTTCCCATGAGTTTCCATGGCCAAGCAAAGACTCGAACCCAGGTTTCCTGAAGCCTTCTTTGCTGCTCTGTGCACGGCACCACAATGCCCCATGGTCAAGATCACTAAAATTGGGTTTTCAAATTTCATGGACTGCAAATCTCATAAATCTCCATCCTGAGAGTTCTTCCTGACAGAGTGATGCCATACTGGTGGGTCACCTGGGAGAAAGGCCTAAAATGGAAGGCTTCGAGGTTGAGCTCGGCCTTAGCTTTGCCACAACTTCCTCTTCCTGCCCCAGTGCTACCTGGGAGATTTCTTTCTGAAAGGGGTAGTCCAGCTAGGTGGCGATAGGCCTAGATGAGCCTCAGTTGTGGCTTTTTCTCCCAGGCAAGCCCTGTTTAGGTACATGTCTGTTAGGAAGAACTCCCAGGTTGAAGAATTATGGGACTTGTAGTCCAAGAAATCTGAAAATCCCATTCTTATTGTCCACCTTAGAATCGTATTAGCTTCCCTCTACCTCTTGCTCCCAGGGGCACCAACAGCGAAAATTACAGTCATTTCTGCTCTCACTTAGATCTTGCCGGTGTGGAGAAGACAAGGATGGATGGGGGAAGCCTGGGTTTTCAAAAGCATGCACATGAATGCATGCGCCACATTTGAAGTGTATGATTTCCGGGGAAATAAAGGACGTTTTCTCCCCCCAAACATTAACCTTGCCTTTCTCCCCATGGGTAGAGAAATAAGAGAAACCCAGCCTGGGCTGGAGAAATCAGAGGGGCTTCCACAGCTCCACCTGTCAGGACTGTCAGTGGTGGGGGAACGAGGGACATCAACCAGTGCGGACTGGCTGGTGGCTTCATCATCAGGTTGCTCTCCTAACGATATGGTAATTGTGACATTTTTACATGATTAACAGCCATCCTGATTTGCATAGCGCAGTTGCCGTCGGGCGGCTGGAAGAGCAGACATACACACACACACACACACTCCTTGACGAGAGAACAAGGAGGGGCTCCTGCTGAGAATGAGATGGGAGCCAGGAGTCACACCGTTCACCTTTCCTTAGCCAGGAAACTGGAGTTAGCCGGCTCTGCCAGCTTCCAGAAGGAAACGTTCCCGTTTCTTGCCGCTTTCACTAAAGGCCCTCAAGCGGCTTCCGGACTCCGGTGACTCTCTGGATGAATGATCTTCAAAAGATCCTGACCTTTGCAGCCGCTGTTCAGGTCTCACAAACCCAAGGCTGTGGCTTCCTGAAAGGAGTCAATCTACCCTGTGTTTGGTTTTCCTCTTTTCCTACTGCCTTCCACTTTACCCCACATTGTCTTCTCCAGCGAGTGTTTTTCTTTCTTTCTCATGAGACGCCCAAAGGAGGACAGCCTCAGTTTTGTCAGGATAGTCCAGCCTTCACTTAAGCTGATAATATAAGGACGTTTCCCACTCCTTCCTTCCTTCCTTCCTTCCTTCCTTCCTTCCTTCCTTCCTTCCTTCCGGTGGCATGCTGGGGCCACCTCACACTTTGCCCAAGGCCGCATAGGTGGCAGGGTAGGTCACCCCATCAGCCATGACACCCTCAAATGGATCTCAGCTGGACCTTCTCTTGGGAGGCCCCATGGGGATTCGGGGACTCCAACCCACTGAGCTATACTGCCTCTGCTCCTTTGATGGGACTCAAGGAAGACATGCAATCCAGCAGTCCCTTATTTGTCTTGTAGAGGGTTCCTCATATCTGTAAGGCTCTCTTCTGCCACCCGGGCCTTCTTGGTGGTGGCCCCTCGACTTTGGAATAGCTTGCCGCCAAAGATCTGCCTGGCTGGGTGTTTTTAAGAGCCAATCTCTTTAGACAGGCCTTCCCTCCTGTCAATACTTGATTTTTATTTTTCTCATTTTCTGCCGTTCACTTTCCCATCTTGATTATATTATTATTGTAGATTTCAATTGTTGTTTTTAAATCTGTTTTTGTGTTTAATATACTGTGAGCTGCCCTGAGTAGACTCCTGTCTAGAAGGCAGGGATAAAAATCCAATAATAAATAAAAATAAAATAAATTTCAAATCAGCTGCTAGCTGGTACTATTTTAAATGGCGATGCCAAAGATCAAACCTCTGCCTCCTGCCAAAGCAGGTGTTCCAGCCCACTGGTTCTTAACCTTGGGTTACTCAGGAGTTTTGGACTGCAACTCCCAGAAGCCTTCACTACCAGCTGTCCTGACTGGGGTTTCTGGGAGTTGCAGTTCAAAAGCATCCGAGTAACAAAGGTTAAGAACCACTGTTCCAGCCCATCCTCACAACCAAAGTTCTGTCCTCTGCCTCCAGAAACAGCCAGAGAAAGGCAACAGAAGACCTCGCTGATCTCCCAAGCCTTTCTGTCCTTTGCCCCAAAGTAAGGTTACGTATCCCTTTTGGCCCGCCTGCCATGAATTTTTTTTGCCGTCTATGTGGCTCCTTGAGAGTCCCCTGGACTGCAAGGAGAACAAACCTATCCATTCTGAAGGAAATCAACCCTGAGTGCTCACTGGAAAGACAGATCCTGAAGCTGAGGCTCCAATCCTTTGGCCATCTCATGAGAAGAACACCCATGTGTCCAGGCGGATCGTTCCCCTCAGCATCCGGGAGCGGGGCTCTTGATCACGGCCCCTTGGCCAAGCTTTGTGCACGAGAGCATTGCTTTAAATCTGTGGCCAACCAAATCTGCACAGTGGTCAAACAACCCTCTCGATGAGGGGTGGGCAAACTGCTATAATGATGATAGGATGATGGATGTTAATAAATTTCACACTGTCCTATAAGCAGTTGCAGATCTCAGAAATAACTCCATCAGAACTACAAAAAACAGCAGTTTTGGGAACGGCATATACACCATGCCAATATTTAACAGTTACTTACAGGTTTTTGGTCAAAGCTTGTATCTGTTATATTAAAATGCTTTAGGGTGGTGGGGACGAGAATGGGTGCAGCCTTTTGAGGGAAATGGGCAGCTCTCGCACCTCCAGAGGAGGTCCCCCACTCCTGTAGGTCCAGTTGACTTTCTAGTGTGGTTGCTTAGAACAGTGGTTCCCAACTTTGGCTCCTTAGGTGTTTTGGGACTAAAACTCCCAGAAGCCTTCACCACGAGCTGTGGTGGCCAGGATTTCTGGGAGTTGTAGGCGAAGAGCATCCGGGGACCCGAGGTTAGGAACCACTGGCTTAGAAGCTTTGCCTATTGTGAGATTAGCATTCAGGCTACTTCAGACTTTATCAGCATTTCTGCTGACTGCCTCGGTCCTCGGCTAACTTCCAGATCCAGTTCAAAGCACTGGTTTTGATCTCCTGCAATTCCACAATACTTGGGCCCCAAATTCCTTAGGAACAGACTCCCTTGTCTCCTTCCATGGCCATCACTAAGATCATCTCAGAGAACAGATTAGGCATCCTTCAGTCTCGAGGGACTATGATCACGTGCTCTGTATAGAGGACTTGGAACAGCGTCTAGTGTGGCTGAGAAGGCCAATTCAAGAGTGACCATTCCTTCCACACCGAAGACCAATACAATCTGTCCCCTGTCCAGCTCCCTGATTTTGCTGCTTTCAGGACTGCCTCTTTGCCTCGGCCTGCTGGACTAGGGTCTCTTCAAATTGGGAGAGGCCGTGATGCACCGCCTGCCTCCAGGCTGAACGCTCGGAGGCCCATTCCTAAGGCCTTCAGATCCCGCTGGCAGATCTCCTTGTATCGCAGCTGTGGTCTCCCTCTGGGACGATTTCCCTGCACTCATTCTCCATACAGGAGATCTTTTGGAATCTGACCATCAGCCATTCTCATGACATGCCCAAGCCAACGTAGATGTCGCTGTTTCTGTAACGTATACGTGCTGAAAATTCCAGCTCGTTTTAGGACTACTCTATTTGGAACTTTGTCCTGCCAGGTGATACCAAAAATCCGTCGGAGACAACGCATTGGGTGGGTGGGGTCTCAGAGAACAACAGTGCGTCAAAACCATTCTGCACCACTGCCCTCTACCTGTGGAACTCCCAGATCCTTGAAGCATGGCAACGCCTGAGGTGCATCAAGTTTGGGTTGAGGCCATGTTCGCTCAAGGGAGTGGGGAGTTCTGCCAATCAGCCAAGCTGTGTACTATAGGAGGAGACAGGAAGGGAGGAATGGCAGAGGACCCGTCGGGCTACTGGAGAAGAAAGGGATAAAAAATGGTGCGAAGGGGAAGCTCACCTGGAATCGACGCATGTCTCTGGGATTCCCAGCATTCTTTAGGCAGTTCTGATTGCATTTCAGAAAGAACTTGAGGAAAAATCTAGAAGGAAAAGAAGAAGGGGTTGTGAGTTGTGCAATGGACCACCCTGTTTTGCTTGGCATCAGTAGCTGGGCCTTGGTAGCAAGGCTAAAAATTACAGGCACCCCATTCCTGCCCTTTTTGAGCATTTCAATGAGTTTTAGGCAGCCTCGGCTGCACCCAATATCAAGGTCTCTCGGACCACCTCCTCCTGCAAGACAAAGGCGTAACAAACACACGGGTGGGACGATGCTCCAATGGCCAAGGAGCCCTCCTTTTGCCTTGGAATCGCACGGAGGCTCGGACACGCCAGGAGATGTTGACCACCTAATTGTCAAATAAGCCCACCCCACCACCCCCACATCTTGTCTACCAGCCTTAATCTTGGAGCTGAAGATGGGACAGAAATCAGTGTGTTATGACCGGGTTAATCCTCACCCGTTCCTGCAGATTTCATTGGGAGCAGAGAGGGAAAGAATCATCCTAGCCACAGGGTAAGGGGGCAGAGAGAGAGGCATAATGGGGTGGCAAAGGCAAGTGGGTCCTGTAGGGTCCTGTGGGGTTCCAGGCCACACTTCAGCATTGATCAGCAGCATCACTCTGTCATCTCATGGAAATCCTTCCAAGCCCTACCGGGAAATGCAGGGCCAAGATTTGGTAACACGGATCTCCTGCATGCACAACAAGGTTTCAGCCCTTGAGATAAAATCTCTCCAGCCACGGCGCTGCGACACCCACCATCTCCTGGCAGCTCACCAACGTCTAATGGGACAGCTGCCTTCAGCTGAGTGGATCAACAAGTTGTGCAGCCTACGTGCTGACAGTAGGGTCTGATCTGAGATACTTTCCCCACCTACTATGAATTCTGGAGATTGTACTGTTTGTTTGGCGGGAGCTAGTTGCCTCCACCCCTTCATGGATTGCTACCTTGTCGTGGCGAAGGGGCTTGAGTAATACAAAGAAGTTACGGACTATACTGTGCAGGGACACCCAAGATGAACAGGTCATCGTGGAGAGTCAACGCAATCCACCTGGAGTAGGAACTGGTAAGCCATTCCAGTATCTTTGCCAAGAAAACTCCATGGACAGAAACAAAAGGCTAAAAGATATGACGCCGGATGAGCCCCTAAGGTTGGCAGGCATCCGACATGCTACTGAGGAAGAGTGGAGGACAAGTACAAGTAGCTCCAGAGCTAATGAAGTGGTTGGGCCAAAGCCGAGAGGACGCTCAGCTGCGGTCGTGCCTGGAAGTGAAAGGAAAGTCTGATGCTGCAAAGAAAAATACTGCATAGGAACCTGGAATGTAAGATCTATGAACCTTGGGAAGCTGGAGGTGGTCAAACAGGAGATGGCAAGAATAAACCTTGACATCCTGGGCGTCAGTGAATTAAAATGGATGGGAATGGGCGAATTCAATTCAGATGATTACCATATCTACTATTGTGGTCAAGAATCCCATAGAAGAAATGGATAGCCCTCATAGTCAACAAAAGAGTGGGGAAAGCTGTACTGGAATACAGAAATCAAAGTGGCTGTCCAATGAGGCCTTACAAATAGCAGAGAAGAGAAGGGAAACAAAATGCAAGGGAGAGAGGGAAAGTTACAGGAAACTGAAAGCAGACTTCAAATGAATAGCAAGGAGAGACAAGAGGGCCTCCTTAAAGGAACAGTGCAAAGAAATAGAGGAAGATAACAGAAAAGGAAAAACCAGAGATCTTTTCAAGAAAATTGGAGATATTAAAGGAACATTTTGTGCAAAGATGGACATGATAAAGGACAAAAATGGTAGGGATCTAACAGAAGCAGAAGACATCGAGAAGCAGTGGCAAGAATACACAGAGGAATTATACCAGAAAGATCTGTATGTCCTGGACAAACCAGATAGTGTAGTTGCTGATCTTGACCCAGAAGAGAAGACTCCCTGGAAAAGACCCTGATGTTGGGAAATTGTGAAGGCAAGAGGAGAAGGGGATGACAGAGGATGAGATGGATGGACAGGGTCACCGAAGCAACCAAGATGAATTTGACCCAACTCCAGGAGGCAGTGGAAGACAAGAGGGCCTGGCATGCTCTGGTCCATGGGCACGACTTAAGGACTAAACGACAACAAGTGCCTCCAACAGAATTCCCAGCTCTCTAAGGGGAGAAAACCCTTCTATTTTCAGAATTCCTGGCCATGAAATGGGCATAAAATAAATGTACAGTCAGACATGCCCTACCACAGAATGAGGGTTTAAGTTCAAATGGACAGGGTAAGTTTCCTGCCTTGCATGGCTTGTGGGAGGATCCCCTGAAGCCAACACAGAAGAGAAGCATCCATTCAACACCTGCAGAAGGTCGGGGCTTTCAGGAGGCAGAGCTGGCTTGGTCCCAAACCGACAGCCACCATCTTTGCAAAAAAATAAAGCAACAGGGTTCAGGTGCCATGAAACCAATCCAGAAGACTGCCGCCAACCTGTGGCCGAGCATGTGTTTCAAAAGCCTCGGGGCCTTGTGCAACTCGTCCAGAGTTTGAAAAGGTCCCTCTTCTGAATTACAACTCCCAGCCTCTCCTGATTAGAGATGGTCAGGACTGTGGCTCAGAAATGGCATTTCCTCCAAGCTCAGGCACCTCTCTCTCTCTCTCTCTCTTTCTGTGTGTGTGTGTGTGTGTGTGTGTGTGTGTGTGTGTGTGTAAACCCACCCTTCTCTGCTTAAGAGAGTATTGATTGGTAACTGATCCCCGTCTGCCGTTGAGGCAGCTAATGGGCTATATTGCCACAGAGAACGATCAATCAGGGAATAGAAGCCCTGGAGATATCTGAGCCCATCGGCAGGGGAAGAAGGGAGCAGCCTCTCCTGGGAGCCAGGCGGGTAAAGGATGAGACCACCGAGGGCTTGCATGGAATGCAGATCATTTAGGAGAGCTGCTCCCCTTCCAGGACAGCAGAAAGATTCACATCTCCAACCCTCCCAAATGAGGCTAACACTTTTCCATCCATCCCCACGGGCCGATAGAAAGGGTGTGATACATGACGGTCGCTGAAATTCTCTGCAAGCCCCTTGAGACGGGCTGCCCGTCCTTCACCCTATAATTTTTTATTTAACTTTTCTAAAAAAAAAGGGGGGGGGAGGGAAAGGCTCAGGTCGTCCCTCCGTCTTCTCACAAACTCTAACCCTTATCAAAGTTCTTTTGCGGTTGTTGTTGTAAAAATTGGGTACTGGGATGTTGATTTTTTAAAATGGAAAAATATTTGGGGGATGGGTGGTACGGTAACAGGGGCGGCCCTCCACAGTACGAGGCGGGCACAGGGCAACCACGGGGGCTCAGGAAGTGGCCCATTCCGGCATAACTGTGCCCAACCCTTCTCCTCCTGGGCATGCCCGCCATCTGCCCACTTTGGCAAAAGATTCCACCACCCCCTCCTTTGGCTGCAAGATCCTGGCTCAGCAGCGCAGGCAGATGTGCTGGCACCCTTGGGCACTGTGTTAGCAGCTGCCATGCCTTCTGCAAACCCATGCAGGTCAAGAGGCCACGTTCTTTGGCTCCGTGGACCAGTAACCTGAAAGGATGGGAGCGTGGTCAGCTTGTGGACTGAGTCGGGGTGCTGGGGTAGCTCCCAAAATTTAAAGGCAACGGCATTCCAGGGAACAGCACTTGGGGTCAAAAGCAGAAACAGCTCCGATGCCCAGTTGTGGCGCCTAATGAGGTCAGCACAGGAAGAGGTGGTTGGTCTCCTCCCGGAGAGCCTAGGCAAAAAAGGGCATTCTTATGTCCGAGTCTTTTGGAAAGAGAAAAGGCAACCAGGGATGAAGAGGCACAACCCAAGGCTTTTGGGCGTTGCATTGCCACTCACGGATCGCAAGACGTCGACAGGAGAGAGAGGAGGAAAAGCAAAGCGAGCAGAGGAAACGAGGAACAGCAGCAGCAGCAGCAGAAGGAAAAAGCGATGGAAGCAGAGCGGACCGTCTACGCCCCAAGAGCGTTCCAGGCTGATGAAATATTTAGGACGCTTGTGCAGGGCCCTATAATTGTCATCCCAGCATCAATAATAAATGGGGCCGCTGCCTGTGTGCACTCCAGAGAGGCTGGGACGGGAGGCGGATCTGTGTGCGAGAGTGTGTGCCTGTGGAGGCATGCACACAAACACACACACACACACACAACATTTGCACAGAGAGCTTTGGTCAGAGAGCTCCAAACCGTGCCCTCTGCAAAGGCTACTTTTCATGTGCCCCCCCACCGGGAATGATGTAGCGCCTCGTTCTTGCGGAAACCCAGGTGGCGTGTCCTGCCCTGCCCCGGCCCTACCCCCTGCCGGCTGTCAGCTAGGTTCATCTGAACAGATTCACACACAGCCTTGCCAGGATCGGCTTGGCACTGGAGAGGATGAGGGCGAACGGTAGACTCCTTACTGTATCTGCAAAGCTGGCGTAGGGGATAGGCAGCTTGTTGGGTCAAATCTGGCCTCTAAGGCAGTGTTTTGTGGCCTCGGGAGCTCACAGCACACACACACACAAACACACACACACACGGGAGAACCAGGCCTCCATACCGATACCCTCCCAATGGGATGGCGATGGACTTGGGCCCTTTCCTTGCACATGGAGAAAGAGGAGCATGGATCTCACCCGTGGGGAGGATTGCAAGCTTCCAACATAGAGTTCTCAATGCAGCGAGAAAGGCGTTTCAAACCAAGCCGGCCAGTTCTGGACCCTCTGCCCAGCCATACCAGCAGCTCCAAAGAAGGGCGGCTGCTGTTTTATTCCAGACTTTGAGAAGTTGTTGGCCCCTTTCTTAACAAGCCGAGGCTCCCGCTGTGCCTGCTGGGGTCTAGCTGTGTGCTCTGCTTCTCAGTTGCAAAGGGATTTATGTGCCTTGCTTTGGGCTAGAGATGAGGACTCTCATAGGGACTTTCGAACGTCCCACCTGGGGGTGGTGGTGGTCCTGTCATTTCAATACAGCCAGAGTCAATAGCAACATGGAATTCAGTGAGAATTCTTTCCATCCTGGAGGGGGAGGCGGCGATCATGCCATTAAG